GTAGTAGTAGTAGTAGTAGTAGTAGTAGTAGTAGTAGTAGTAGTAGTGGTCGTAGGTAAATAACCTTCGGCCGTTGTGTCCGGGGTGTGACGTGCTCTGACGGCACGATTGCCCAAAATTTCTTTATAACGAGATGACTAATTAACAGTGACACCTGGACTCGATTTAAAGTAATGTTTAGCTCGTCTAGTAGTCGAATGTTAATTAAGTTCATTTTTCCGAGATGACAAGTCATAGCCTCACAGTCCTGTACGTACTCTGATTATAAACATGGTATCTGATGGTTTTTAAACAACAGAAAATCTTTTACAGTCATTACTATCGTTAATGAGCGTGGAAGAGACAACAGAGCGACTCATCTCAATCTTGTGTGAAGCAGCTACAAATAAGGAGCCAACCACTTATAAGACTGGTTTTTGGGGACGCGCCCAGGTAAGACATTGAATTTGATTGAATGCTATGTAGGCGAGTGAAACGACCGCTTGCTCGTAACGCACTGGTTTATTCGCTGTTTGTTTAAGCGGTGGACGCAGCCACACGATGCATGCATATTTACATATATAACATATTCTCCCTCTAGTGACAACTACAATGATACTTAATTCTAATAAAAAGGCGAATCTAGAAATATTTCTTGTAATTAATGGTGGGACGCTTGCGTAACAATCTCATCGGTTCATCGACCGGTGAACTGCGTGAAGTCTCTGTTTGGCCTATTGATTCATTATCTGCATCCTGGTACTCAGCGTGGGAATCAAGGTGCCCCTGTTCAGCTGCGTCTTTTTCGTCGACGCTCCTCCGTGTTGGATGCATAGTATTCTCGCTCCCGTCTAATGTCATTAGCGTAGAAGTATGAGGCTCATACATCTCGGCTCTTCTCCCTCTGGTCGAACCGTGTCGGTCAATTAATGGTGTTGAGTGAAATTGTGGCGAGACTTGCAACAATGAATGCGGCGACGACGGAGTGGGCGGCGATTGTAGCGGCGATTGTGGCCGCGACTGTGGCGGCGTAATACTCGACTCCGGTAAGTACATGCTTCTTTTCTCATAGTGTAGTGGATTGTTACTTGTCCCTTTGTATAACACTACTTGATTTTTGTGTCTTTTGACACACTCTAAATTAATATAGTCTTTTATTAAATACATCACTGTTCCCAATCTCTTAATAATAATACCTTTTACCCATTTGTAATTGTTTTTGTTTACAAATTTTTTATACAATACAATATTGTCTTTTTCAAAATGTTTTGTTTTATTTTTTCGTACAGAGTTATTGTGCGTATACTGTTTATTTTTCACATTACCGGTTACGGAGGGTGACAAAAATGACGATGACTTGGGGTTAATCAAGTCTAGCCGCGTCCTAAGTTTACGACCGAAAACCATTTGTGCTGGTGAATACCGTGTCGTACTATGAATGGAATTACGATAATCCATGAGGTATTTAAGCAATTTTAACTTTGTTTCTTTTGCTGTTCGACACGATAGAAGGCACGATTTAATACCCTTTTTTACAACTTTAACATAACTTTCTGCCTGGCCATTGCTGGCTGGGTGGTAAACCGGTGTTGTGACATGGGATATTCCGTTACTTTCACAAAATCTATTAAATTCTAATGAACAAAAAGCTGTGCCATTATCGCTTACCAAGGTCTTCGGCACCCCGAACCTCGACATGAAATCGCATATTTTTTCTATAACTGCACTAGAACCTGTTGAGTTGTGCATATTGTACACTTCAACCCATTTTGTGTGAGCGTCTACTACAACCAAGTATGTACAACCGCTTATTGGTCCCAGAAAATCAATGTGTAATCTAATAAATGGATTACATGGTGACTCCCAAAATGCGATTGGAGCACGGGGGGGGTGAAGGGCGCAATTGTATACATATTTCACAAGAATTTATTAACCTTTCTAATGCTTGATCAATTCCAGGAAACCAAACCCTTGACCTAGCTTCAGCCTTTGTTTTTACAATACCTAAGTGCGAGGAATGTAGTTCCTTTAAAATTTTGTCATATAAACTCTCAGGTACAACTACTTTGTGTCCTCGCATTATGCAACCATTTTCGTACGACAACTGTGATCTGCAGAGATAAAACGGTTTCAATTGCATATTAGCATTTTTTTGGGGCCAACCATTCATAATGTATTTTGCTACTTGATTCAAAACTATATCACTTTTAGTTTCTTCCCGCAATTTAACTAAAGTAACCGGCGCGCTGTTATCAAACACGAAGCAAACGTAACTCGCCCGATCACACGTTTGCTCCACCTCGCCGTCGCTGCATTGTTCGGTACAAGCGCACTCGATACAGTCAGGCGCAGTAGTTGGTGGGGTGGGCAGGCTTGCGCGAGAGAAAAAATCTGCACTATTATCGGCACTTCTGATATATTCAATGGTGTAGTTATAGCCACTTAGGAACAAGGCATATCTTTGTAACCTATTGGCGGACACTTCCGGAATGCCTTTATATGGTCCAAAAATTGATATGAGTGGCTTATGATCGGTTCTTAGAGTAAACGGTTTGCACCTACCGTACAAATACTGATGAAAGCGCCTCACACCGTAAATAATTGCGGTCGCTTCCTTTTGTATTTGTGCATATCGTTTTTCTGCGACATTTAGTGTTCTAGAAGCAAACGCTATTGGTCTTTCTACTCCGTCTGAATCTACTTGTGAAAGAATTGCACCGAGGCCACTAGGTGAAGCATCTACTGTTAGTATTAACTTAGCGCTTGGTTTATAATGCGCTAGTACTTGTTCGGAAGCTAACAATTCTTTGACTTTTATAAATGCTGAATTATGCTCATCCGTCCAATTCCATTTTGATCCTTTCTTTAATAAGTCGTATAAAGGACTTAGGACGGTAGAAGCATTGGGTACAAAATTCCTATAATAGTTAACCAATCCCAGGAATGATTGTAATTGGTTAATATTCGTAGGGAGTGGTGCTTCCACCATTGCTTTAATTTTTTCTGGGGACTTTTTCAGTCCATCTTTCGTAATGACATAACCCAAATAACTGACTTTATCTTTGAAAAATTCGCATTTTTCACGTTGCAATGTTAGTCCGGCTCCTTGTAACCGTTTTAACACCGCATGGAGCCTTTCCAAATGCTCTGTTCTGTCCTTGCCAGTTACAAGCACATCGTCTAATAGGCATAGGACACCATCCATCCCTGCCAAAATACATTCCATTGCGCGCTGGAAAATCGCCGGCGCGCTGGCTAAGCCAAACACTAAGCGGGTGTACTTAAATAGGCCGCGGTGAGTATTTATGCAAGTTAACTTTTGTGATTCTTCGTCAAGAACAAACTGGTTATAGGCCATAGACAAATCGAGCTTAGAAAATTGTTGACTCTCGTGAAGTTTAGAAAATAACTCGTTTACCGTCGGTAAAGGATATTGTTCAACGAGTAACTGTTTGTTCAGACTAACGGAGTAATCGACACACAATCTGACCGTACCATTACGCTTTAGAACTGGTACCACCGGTGATGCGTACTCTGAAAACTCAACGGGTACCAGAATACCTAAATTTACCAATCTGTCAATTTCTTTTCCGACCATGTCCCGTAATGCGAATGCGACGGGCCGTGCCTTAAAAAATACTGGAAACGAGTTATCCTTTATTGACAACTTTATTTTATATTTATTGAACGTTCCCAGTCTATCAGAAAATAAATCTTTATATTGTTCTTTGAAGTTGTTAAGTAGCAAATCCGTTTCCTGACAATAATTTACAGGTGTTAACTGTAATTTAAAAAGCGAAATAAAATCTCTGCCTAAAAGCGGTGGGCCACCGTCCTGGACTACGTAAAAATCTAAATCGCATGTTATTCCAACGTAAGAAACGGGCATCCGAACTGTACCTATACAAATTATATTTTTACCGTTATAAGTCGTCAGTTGTTTACACGTATTCGATAATGGCACATCTATGAAATGAGTTTTGTAGTAACTTTCGGAAATCACAGTCACAGCGGAACCGCTGTCAATTTCAAATTCATATTCTAATTTGTTAATTGTTATGGTTTCCATCATGGGTTCCCCCCTTAAGGAACGGATATAAAAAAGCTTACCATCGTCATCGTCACCATTATCACCGCCGTCGGCGTAAACAAAATTCACTTTTGTGCACATTTTTTTTAAATTTATCGCGAAGAGTTTCTTCAATATTTTTGAAGTTACAGTGGGCTGACATTCCACGTAACCTCGCTGCCCATTGTGTGTGTGTCTCTCCAGATTGTTGAACAGCTGCATAGAAGTTATGCCTTTCCGCAAATCCAACACGCTTCGGTGTGAAATGTTCGTCTAGGAGAGACAATATGCCTTCGTATGGTACGTCTTCAATTGCTTTCGGAAGTGCTAAATCTGCTACCAATTTGTAGGTACTTTCGGCGAGTGCGCTGAGAAGGATCGCTCTCCTCTTATTGCCCTTTGGATCTTCTTTCGCTTCAATATCGTTTGCAACAAAATATTGTTTAACGCGGCTTTTATAAGTTTGCCAAGTCTGAACACTGTGGTCAAACATCGTCAAAATTCCAAAATGTACTCCGGCCATTTTAATTATTTCCTAACGCGGGTGAATGTAAAAAAAAATCTCGTCGCCAGTGCTATGTAGGCGAGTGAAACGACCGCTTGCTCGTAACGCACTGGTTTATTCGCTGTTTGTTTAAGCGGTGGACGCAGCCACACGATGCATGCATATTTACATATATAACAGTTAAGTATCATTATTATTATACATATATTTAAATTTCGTTATAAGATGTTACCGACTAGCAGTGTAAGCTCGAAACCGTGTTTTTGATATGCTTATGGTGATTGGTCTATAATAGTACCTGGTTTCATATTTCTCCTTTGAAGAAATTCTGTTGTGTTTAAAGAGATAATAAATCGATCTGTCTAGGGAGCAATTGATGTAGAGTCAACGGCTGACATGTGACATGACACTGCGTGTGTTTAACCATTCGTCGCTACGCCTATGATCTTCTTCGTAATGTAAATTAAATATGCGACTTTCTTTTCCATCACAACAGCCTTTAATTGACTATTAATTCTTGTCATATACTTCTTCCTACTTCATAGGACTTACTAGCATCTACCTAATAGGGCCTTGTCTGCATATAACTAGTGAGACCCTGTGATCGCTTTGATTTCCCTAGCCCTTCCTCTGCTACCTCTAGATACCCTCCTTTTACCTTCAGTGTACTGAAGGCGGGTGGCGGTGGCGAATGGCGGGTTTCGCACTAAATCTCTAAATCACTAAATATTACTTAATCTCTTCTGTTGGAGAAGAAGCAGATCTTCCAGATGACTGCAATAACTTGCACACTTGTTTCAAAATGTCGTTGATGTTTAGGTAGTGCAACACGCAATGCGTATGTGCGTGCTATGGGCGCGCGGCGGCGGCGACGCCGTCTCGTTGGCATGGTCGCTGCGCAGGGCGGCACCCAGGCTGCTTTTGGACGATGCTGACCCAGCGGTAATTTTTGTGTCCGATTTATGTACATTTACTTCACGTCCTGTTCCCGATTTATTTTTACGCAAACTTATTCTGCAAGCAGGTATTATAATCGACACTTGCTTATAGGTTCGTCGTGAAGCAGGCAGCGCCCTCTACAGATTATGCTCTGGCGGTGAGGTCGCTGTGCTGGCGCCGCTGCTTCAACTATTGCTTGAACATCTGCCACGGGCGGCGGATATGAGGCCACACCATGGACATCATCACCAACACCATCATGAGGTCATTTCTTGATAGAGTTTATATAAATAAATATATAAATTTAAATATCATATTAACAGGTAGAAGACGGTGTAATGGTCAATGAACCGATTACTGAAATAGTGTAATAGGCGCTTTGTTGTCGAGTTGCGGAAACCAGCCCGTTGCACCAAGTACCAAGTACTCAAATAGTGAATTTTAACATTATTTTAATAATGGATCTATTTTGAAAAACTTTAAATAGCCAATTAGTAAAGCCTCAAAAAATAACTGTCAATTTTTTGCTTTGTTCTAGGTCGTCCACCACCATACAGAAGAAGGAAAAGAACCGTATGGCCCAGCGTGTCGCGATTACTTTTGGCTAGTGTGTAGATTGATAGACGGGTTACCAGAGGATTTTTTCAAAGGTAAGTTCATATTGCACCACCTATAAACCCGGATTTAAAGATATATATAATATTTTATATTGATTTGCTCAAAACATAAACTTCACCACAGAGGGAGCCACATCCGAAGATAGTGGAGCTCCAGACCTCAACGAACTGTGCGAACAAATTCGTTCTTCGTTAGAAAAGCGAGAGATCATCGAAAGGCGGTCGGAACCGTGTACGCCCGATGATGGACTTTATGGCCAGCTCAGTCTGCTTACGCATTTATTAAAACACCCGTTAAGATTTAAGACTTCAGAACCGGGGACCAGGACGTTAGAAATGGTAAGAATCGTCTCATTGTGTTTGTGCATAATTATACAGATCAACAAATAAGAAGTATACTAATTTACGTTTATTCGCCACTAGGTTTTCGGTTTTCTGTTCGATGTTCCTAACCCAGAGAAGCGCAATCTTCCTAAGTGCAAATCTCAAAAATCCCGAGCGGCGGCCTATGATCTCCTCGTGGAACTTGTCAGAGGAGCACCGGACAACTATATGGTACTATACCACAAACTTATGGAACATCATAAGCCTGGTAAGTAATATTTATGAATTTTTGCATATGGATAAGTTGTGACATACTACATCTTCTACTAAAAGTAAATGTGCAGATTATGAATTAGTAATCATTGATAATTTGCTTTTGCAAAGTACGCAGAACTACGGAAAGTAAACTAAACGGAAATCGCACTAGACCGGAAATTACCTGCTATAGAAAATAAAATTAAATCACTGCAACAACTGTACTGAATTTTTTTGTCCTGTTACCAATTGTTTGTGATCGATATAAAATACTTTACTGTTATATACCACGAATATTCAGCTACTGTTCGGCATTCGGCTAATCGGCAAATACTCAAAATTTTTTTATGTAAATTTTCCCAATAAGGGGATTTTTTTATTATTATGATTCAATTTTGTGAAGTTTTAGCCGAACAGTTAACTTTTATCCAAAAATTACTAAAACATAATGTGTTACAATTTATAAACAAATAATGCGTGTTGCGACACGAATCTGCTGAACTGCCTCAGTGGCCGAACGGTTACCATGCCGGACTGCCACGCAGAGGTCCCAGGTTCGATTCCCGGGCCGGAAGAAATATTTGTGTGGCCTACATTTATTTCTCCCGTGAGTTTCGGTGTAATTTGTGGTTGTCTATGTATGTGTCCATGGCACCCGCGACACAGGGTTAAAAAAAAAATATTCTTGAATGAAAAAAATAAGCCCGCCCGTCAGCATCCAGTACAATGAGACAGATCGTAACCTGCCCCACGCGAAATGCCAAGTATTCTATTCGGTTCTATTCGAGGCTGAGAGCGCAGCCGAATATTCGGTATTCGTCGAGAAATTATTTGTGACATCTCTACTGCCCACGTAAAAGCTTTTAACATATTCAAAGGTCCTCAATCATCGTACCCTTGGGATTACTGGCCTGCCGAGGAATCTCGATCAGAGTGCGGATACGTAGGTCTGACAAATCTCGGTGCAACATGTTACATGGCGTCGTGTATGCAACACCTGTACATGATGCCGGGCGCCCGCGCCGCTGTATTAGCTGCCGACCCGGCTGCGAGTCGACATTCCGCTACGTTACATGAAATGCAGAGGATGTTTGCTTATCTTATGGTAAGGGCAATAATAAATAATGTATTATCAGCACATAGGAGTACGCGAAGCTAACTAGTGTAGTATTTTGCTTGTATTATTTTTATTGCATCAATCCATGTACATGACAAGCTGCAGACAGATCTGAAGTTCGTTTTTCGATATCACATCCAATACCAGATATTATGTTAATGGTTAAAATCAGGCGGGAAGATGCTCCGTCTCTATTTGGCAAACGGCCTATCGTAGGACTCCTATGTGACGTCACAAGGAAGTATTGTCGTTTATTTGTAGCGCCAGTTAAGTACCAAGCATTACAATATATTCTACGTTTTCTAACAGGAAAGCGAACGTAAAGCGTACAACCCTCGCAGCTTCTGCAAAGTGTATCAAATGGACCACCAACCACTGAATACGGGCGAACAGAAAGATATGGCGGAATTCTTCATCGATCTCGTCTCCAAACTTGAAGAGATGACGCCTGAGCTGAAGAAACTTGTAAAGACGCTGTTTTGTGGCGTGCTTAGCAATAATGTTGTATCTTTGGTAAGTTACAAGGACAATATTTTCTCCAGTCGGTACTTCAATATTGAGAGTCGTGATCACATATAAGTGAAACGGTGGACAATCTGTGATTTTGTTTGATTGTTGTCCTTAGCACTTTATACACTATAGATATATAATAAAATATAGAGCATGTTTAAAAATTGTAAGATTTTTTTGGACAGTTTACCTTTGATTATCGTAAACTTGTATATTTTGACACTTGTTTATTGCTTGAATGACATTCGCAACAGCAGCGCCAGCACGATAAGTCACACCCTTTCGTGTTAGCGCTGCTCCGGTCAGCTGGTCATCATATTACTGTCTATGTTTGTTAGTCCTTGATTAGTTTATCGGCATCAATTAACTTATTTAACAGGATTGCCCTCACGTATCTCGAACGCTGGAAGAGTTCTATACAGTAAGGTGTCAAGTGGCAGATATGAGAAATCTTCATCAAAGTTTAGATGAAGTCACCGTCAAAGATACGTTAGAGGGAGACAATTGTTATACGTGTTCACAGTGTGCCAATAAAGTGCGCGCTGAGAAGCGGTAAGTCGATTTATAAGAATGTCTATTTTTAGTAAAAAGCTCTTAAAAGACGAAACCCCAAAAGTTTTTACGTCATGGGCGACATTTGAAAGAAAGTGTGTCTTTAAATTTGAAATAACTTTTTGGTTTTAAACATTTATCAATAGTGATTAGTTCACTTGACAGATATAATCCTTAAGAACGATTATGCTGTAGTATGTTTCATAAAAAAACCTTTTGCAATTATTACTAAATAACCTAAAGTAGAAGAATGTTTCTAAATCTCCAGTAATGAACACCAAAAATTCACTAATTAACTAACCAGAAATCGACACTCACCAATAATGAACACCCAGTAATTGACACTTATCAATGAGAAACATGTATGTATGATTGAAAATTTTGTCGTAATTCTTATTACAAATTTTTAAAAAGATATGAAACAGTGGTGCTTGTCTACAAAACTAAACTATGACGTCGCACATGGGTTAGTTCTTGATATCTGTGCCGGGAACTATTTTATATGTCAAGAATGTCGGTTCTGTTTACACATTTCATCAATAATTGCAATGTATTTTTTCAAATCATTGGCTTGTTTTCACTGGTTAAACGCTATTTTCTCGTTGCTCGAACTTATCACTTTATCATTTGGTACATGTATGAAGACAGCTTTTATCAACATTATCTTGTCAATAATTTCCCAATGATTAGTCTTATAATCTTTTTTTAACGAGCTATGTTCACCATGAAGAATAAAGAATCCTATAAAAATAATGGTGCCTTTTATCTCAGGGCATGTTTCAAAAAGCTTCCACGTATCCTGTGCTTTAACACGATGCGGTACACATTCAACATGTTGACGATGCTCAAGGAAAAGGTCAACACACATTTCTCATTCCCCATGCGACTAGACATGTCTGGATATGTCGAAAAACATTTGATGCCTGCCCAGTACCAAGGTAAGTTATAATAATCGAGAAAAAATTAAAATAAATATATATATTCAAGTCGTTTTGCCAAGCCGTAATTTCTTCCAGACTGTAAAATTAATGATGAAGAACTAAAACTGCGGAATAATAATGACTTTCGGAATTATTTTATAATTTCCCTTTAACAGAAGAGAAGACGAAATTAGAGGAAGATCGAAAAAAGAGAGCAGAAGAGGGAGAAGAAGGTGAAAACACGGGTATTGAAGAAGAAACCTCTGAGGTAGAAGAACATTATGAGTAAGTATTGATTTTTTTGTACATAGCTAGCCTTAACCTTTGTATTTGTCTGTAAGGTTTCTTAATCTCCACTTCTGCAAAACGATGAAAAAATCAAATTTGTTAGAAACCATGGCAAACCTTATCGGTTAACCTAGGGTTCTCTTTCCTGAAAAGTTAGCCATCTACAAAACCAAAATGTACTTTTATTTAAAACTTTTTACTTGCCCTGTTTATAGTTTTTAATTATTTGTTATAGATACGAGTTAATAGGTGTAACAGTACATACGGGCACGGCGGATGGCGGGCATTACTACTCGTTCATCCGCGACCGCGAGCATGAGCACCACGACCGCTGGCTACTCTTTAACGACTCCGAGGTCAAGCCCTTCGATCCAGCGCACATCGCCGCCGAGTGCTTCGGTGGAGAGATGACGGTATGTGTTCAACAATTCACAGTCAACAGTACTCCTCGATTAAGCACGTACATGTATAGACTTATGCTTCTGTTACCGAATGCACTGTGTAAGAACAAAATCCTCATAGGTTTCATATTATTGACGTACAGTAACAAACTAGAACTACTTTATTTCAGAGTAAAACATATGACTCTGTGACGGATAAGTTCATGGACTTCTCATTCGAGAAGACGAACAGCGCATACATGTTATTCTACGAACTTACGCAGCCGCGTAGTCAGCGAGGGTCTGATTGTGGACAGCAAGAGGAGGCACAGGTAGGAATTAAAAAAAAAGCATTTAAAAAAAATTTATAATATATTAATAAATCAGATCTAATGTTCCGTGTTTTATTTTTGCTATGAACTTGGCAGGAACATATTTTCCCCCAGTCTCGCTTAGTAAAGCTTACAATTGATCGAAGGCTTCGAAGCGTCTTATCTTGTGCTTTATTGACTATGAATTGTCTAAGCTATACTTCCAAAATTTTTGCATTCATGTTTAACTTGTCAGTTAATAAAACATTGTTTTACAGTCATCGACAGCGGAAGAAAGCCCTAGTTCATCGATGGAGCGGCGGAGCAGTGACACAACTACAATCGAACTACCACCAGAGTTGCTCAAGTGGATATGGGACGACAACATGCAGTTCTTGCACGACAAGAATATATTTCAGCACGCGTATTTCACGTAAGGATCTTCAATGCAATAATAATATGGATTCTGTATATCCGTGGTAGCTTAATGGATTCACCGAACGCCTCTCAAGCAATAGCCGTGGGTTCAAATCTGGGCTCACACCTCTGAGTTTATCGGAATTTACGTGCAAAAACAGGTGTTCAGTTTTGGCCTTAATTGTGTACCGAGTTGCAACTTACTTCAAAAAATTTTATAGGAAAAGATCTGTTAATTGAAATCTTTTTAATTTTAATTGAAATTGCTGAAAAATGTAATTCTACAATTATAAGATTAAACGATACTGCGTTCGACGAAACGTGCATTCACAGCTGTCATTGTAACTAATAATACGGTTCCTTAGAGGATGGAAAAAAAATAGTAGTAAGGTTGAGTTCGATCGAAAGAACGTTCGTAAAGAACATATATTTACATAATGTAAATTATATACAGATTCATGGGTCAAATGTGCAGTTCAGTACCACAGTCGTTGCTAACTCTCCGGCCTGAAATCACCGAGGTTGCCGCGAGACTTTCGACATCGTTTTTCATCGAAACTTTCATACACGCAAAGGAGAAGGTAATTTTACTGCCATAATGTCTAACTTAACACAATTTATGTTAATTCTACGACTGCTTAGCATCTTTTCTTTTAGCTTGTCAGTGACAGCAGATCAAAAGTATATTATAAGTCGTGCAATACTTCATAAGTAACTCGTGTTATGAGTTCTTGATTTATAAATATTTAAAAGGAAAATCTTTATTTTAGCCCACAATGGTATCATGGGTTGAATTGGTAACGAAACAGTTCAACGCCTCTGCGGCGGCATCAGAGTGGTTCCTCGGCCACATGGCTGATGACACGTGGTGGCCGATGCAGGTATTTATGCACTTAGCTTTGTATTTCAGAAAATCACTACCTGTGCGCGGACTATCTTACACAATATCGCAGCTCATAAGCATAACAATGTTTGACGAGTGTAGTAGACATTAGGAGGTCTAAATTTCTTCTAATTTACGGGGCACTTTCCAGTTTAGACACCTGTCTCTCATAAATATGAATAGTTGTGAACTCTTATATTTCTTGGTACCTATTTATTGTTGTAGTAATGAAATAAACATCATTATTATACTTGCGCCTGCAGCGTATAACATGCATAAGTGTGACTTTGTGTTCAGCCTTACCTGTTAATTGAGGTATCGAATAAATATGACATCAATATACAAAAACCTTTTTATTTATATTTGTATCTAATAGTATAACTACATTTTTTCTCTTTGCAGGTTTTAATAAAGTGTCCCAATCAAATGGTTCGCCAGATGTTCCAGAGACTTTGTATGCACGTCATACAGAGGCTTAGGTAAGTGTATTGTACTACCACATACTAAAAAACATCCGTCAATATTTTTATTTTTATTTATTATTATTTATATTTTTGTTCCAGATCTAGTCATTGTGCCTTATACCTGCAGGGTATGGAGGAGGGGAGCGAGGATAATAGCAATTTGGGCGAAGCGAGTTGTGTTACTAGGTTTATAAGGATGTTGTTATCGTTGGTGAGACTTACCGTCATAACATAATATTAGATAAACTCTGTTATAATTTCTTTATTTGTTATTGTTATAGCTACTCACACGAAAGGTGTTTTACTACAATTGTACCATTTTGCGCATACCTTTACTGCAGAGTTAAGCTATTTAAAGCGTTCTGTGCTGTAATCTCAAGTTTAACGTAAATTTTAATTTTAGATGGAGAATGGCGCACGACAGCACTTACGGCATTTGACGGAATACTTCAGCTTACTATACGAGTTCAGTAAAATGGGTGAAGAGGAAGGCAAGTTTATGCTGCGGATCAATGCTATCTCAAGCATGGTGAACTTTTATTTGGGCCAGAACTCTTCTACGGTAAGTGATGAAAAAAACAATGATTCGTTTTAGTGTACACTAAAATGAATATACCCAAATCCCTTCGTTTGGATGTGTTGTTTATTATACGTTTATGTATTTACTTTTATTCATTTATCGTGCCTCGTTTTATTTCACCTTATTTACTGCTAACAACTACTTATTTTGTCATTTAATTCAGGCTGAATCACCAACGGATGAAGCGAGCGGTAGTGGAAGCGGGAGCGCAAACACCGAAAGCGCGGGCGATAAACTGCGGCCCGGCGCGTTAGACAAAATGGTCGCTTTGGTCGCCGGGTTGGTAGAACGGTCGAGGGATACTAGTGGACATCTGGCCTTGCAGCCCGCCGATGGCAAAGCTTTGTTACATGCCAAAGTAAGAGATAATGTTTATAAAAAATATAAATGTATATGAAGACGACACACTTGTGATTATTTTATCACGCCTACTACATTAGTCCTATTTGATCTGATCCAATTGTTCGTCTAAAATGATTGCCTCATGTCCTACCTACTATTTAAGTTTTTGTTCAAATATGGTTAAAAATTGACACAATTGTTTCGCAGGGTTTTCCATTTATCTACCAACAAACACGCGACTGCCTAAATCTGCAACAGACGAGGTCGCTAGTATTTGCGCTGTGCAGGTGGAATGAACCACTGGCGCAGAAGATTGTAGGCATGATTTTTCAAGCTATTGCTAAACATTCAGAGGTTTGTAGATGAGTTTGCTCTATTAATTATGTTACAACTTTGCCCTTCATTTTATTTTTTTTTATTCCGCGTTTGTCATGATCGCCTGTTTTACAATATTTAATTTAATGTCACGACAACATCTTTGATTTGAAAACACTTTAACATACATTTTTAAAGGTTTCTATCTTATTCTTTTGTACTTCAACACAGTCCTAACAACAATTGAGGCGACGCCCTGCAAAAGTATTCGTATGAAGTGTATAATATGTTGTACGGAACTTTAAAGCGTTTATATCTCTTTTCAGAGCTGCGCTCCATTTTTTAAACTGCTAACGCTGTTGGTGGAAGGCAGCGGGTGCGGCGCAGGCGCGACAGGTGGACTGCCGTGTTTCACGCAGCTCGTACTAGCTAGACTTTGGGACGTCGCTGACGTCTGTCCCCATGCTGCGCTTGAGTGGCTTGCTTTGCAGGTAATGTCACGAACACCTTTCGGAGATACTATTAAGGATTCCACTTTTCTTCACAGTACAATCACATATTTTTAAATAAAAAATTATGGTAATTCGTGAAAAAATAAAATATGATTTATCACTAGTAACACTCAAAATTACCGTTCGAATATGTAAATTACTGGCAACACAACAATTATATATGGCAATATGACGGCAATGCCCATAAAGCCTTTAAGTCTATAAACATAAAAAATACTGCCGATCTTGTTGGTCTTTCAGTCAGAGTAATTAGTTGTATAGTTGATTGTATTGCGCCTTACTTAGCCTGTGTCTTTAACCCGCGAGCACTCGCGCCTCTAGGAATTACACGGGCACTCGCGTGTAGAGTATTTTGCTCACGTTTTTGAATGTCATTAAATGCAAGTTTTACCTGATAAAATAAATATTTTTTTAATTTTATTTAATAAAATACACATTATTTATTCTAGAAAATATATATTCAAAAAGTTAACAATATTAATCTTTTTTATTTTAATTAACAATCATAGGAACTAATTTGCCAGTCTTCTAAGGCAGTCTTAGGTAAAAAATTGAACAAAAAAAAAAACTTTTCAAATACAAGCTAAAATAAGTAGGAATAATTAATCTTCATCAAATACGCGAGCTTTACACATATCACATAGTGTACGACTATGCTCGGTACATAAAAATTTTTGGCAGTAAATACAGCTCTTTTTGGTTTTGCGATTTTTGCGTCTTGGGCAAACCGCGCAGATTCCATTTGGTCTTTCTTCTCCTGGTACCTCAGATTCTGGTACAAAACGTTTTATCACTTGCTGAAGAGGATATGAAATATTTTGCAAGGTGCTTCTTCTTTGAATATGTGGTTGTGTTAGTTGAAGAGCTAGTTGTTTCAAGTAGTCTCTGCGTGTGATGATTATACCCGTGTTTTCTTTGTAAATGATTTGACTGTTGATTCCGGCTATGTTTAGGATCGTGAAAAATAATCTTAGCGGCCATCTACATGCTACTCTTGCCACAGAATATTCTTCTTTCAGTCGATCTACAACATCAACACCTCCTTTAGTTTTATTATAAAAGGTGATAATTTCGGGTTTCGCAGTAGTTCCAGTAGTTGGATCGATTCGGTCATCGTTATGAAGTGTACTTATCATAAGAACATTTTTTTTATTCTTTTTCTTTGGTACGTAAGACACCAGAACCTTGCTCTTGTGAAAACCAAAGATACTACTAGGTTTTGGTCTTTGTTTGATGTCAAGAAAAAATGGTGGAATTTCTCTCTTATTCTTCCTGAGTGTACCAACGATAGTAGTCCGTGCAGCTAGTAATTCATCGGCCAATGGAATCGATGTAAAATAATTGTCAGCCGTAATATTTCTGCCTGTATTCAGAATATCTTGTGATAAACGCTTTACAACTGCAGATGCAGTATTATCATATCTGTGTGGACCGTTCGGTTGCTTTCCCGGGTAAATTTCTAAGTTACTTGTATAAAAATTCTTTGCATCACATAAAGCATATACTTTAATACCATACTTAGCTGGTTTGTTTGCTATATACATGCGGAATTTGCATCGTCCTCGGAACGATTCCAGCATTTCATCTATAGTCACGTTCTCTCCTACTTGGTAATTGGCTCGACACTTTGCGACAAAAGATTCGAATAATTCCCGAATTGGAGCAATATTGTCATACTTAGACCTTTCGGAGCGGGAGTTTATGTCATCGAACCTTATAGCTCTCATCAAGAAAAGGAATCTATTGCGACTCATTACAGCTCTAAAAATATCAGGTGCCGTGCCATCTTTGTCCCACATCTCTTTCAAATTTAAGTGATTCATCTTTTTTATACCAGCCATGTACAAAATACCAATAAAGGCTTTTAGTTCTACAATATCCATTTCTTTGCAATCTCTCTCCCTTGAGAATTGGTCCTTGATTTTCCTGATGTGGATATTTGTAAAGCGAACTATACCAGTCAGCATTTCTTCACTCACAAAGAGGAGAAAACATTCTATTATGGTGTTAGCATTTTTAGCGACTGGTTTTACCCCTGGTTGTTTCTCGACAATATTGTGAGCTCTTGTCCTCACATTGGAACGAGATGGATTATAGTTCCACTTTGTACACCCATCTTTGCCTACGTAACACAGCTGATTTCCCGATAAAATTGCAGAAACCTCACCTTCTACTTCCGATGACGATTGTTCGGTGTTAGTGGAATGATGGCTGTGTTCACTACCTCGATCGCTTTCAATATCATCGGCTCTAAAAGACGGGTCCTCAATGTCTTCCAAATCTTCCTCCATCAACCATGCCAAAACGCGTTCATCCCTTCGATCACAATCCATCTATAATATAAATACATAATAGATTACTATAAAGTAGTATAAAGTAGTAAGACTGTCGCTAAGATAGAAAAAAAAAGTCACGAGGAAAAAAAGTACTTACTTCGTTACCCGCGCGATGAGCAAAACGCCGCTCGATGGTACACGGCGCAACAAACCACCTCCTTCTAGCGACTGGCTCACACTGGCGAGAAGTGAACTGCATGCAGGGGCGGGGGAAGGAACAAAACTCAGCTACCGAATGAATGATGTACGTACGCACAATTTTGACAAAATGGCGCGTGTTTTAAATTTACTGTGAGCAAAATGCTCATAGCGCGAGTGCTCGCGGGTTAATAAATGTGTTGATGATGGTGTCTTTCGTGACCTCATGAAGCAAAGTAAAGTTATTCCACTATTCAAATCTGGTAGTATTTCTGACCCCACCAATTTAAGACCTATATCAATACTACCAACTCTCAGTAAAATATTTGAAAAAAATATTCTAAATCAGATGTGTGCACAATTTTATAGTAATAACTTAATGTCTCCTAAACAATTTGGTTTCACTCGGGGTCGCCCTACAACCGATGCTGGTGTCGAGTTGATTAATCATATATTTGATGTCTCACATGATGCTATTGGTGTATTCTGTGACCTTTCCAAGGCTTTTGATTGTGTGCACCATGATACACTGGTCAGAAAACTTCGCCATTATGGTGTGGCGGGACGTAATCTCGACCTTCGTTAAATCGTATTTGCGTGCTAGGGTACAGAGGGTCGATGTTAACGGTACGTGATCATCAGGGTCTGTAATTAACATGGATGTCCCTCAAGGTTCAATTCTAGGCCCATTTTTGGTTTTAGTTTATATTAATGACTTACTTAGCCTTATGGAGGGTATAAAACATGAGATAGTATTGTTTGCTGATGATACTTCCTTATTATTTTCCTTTCCTTATTATATAAAGTTAAAAGGCACCAATGTTCCTACGACGATGTGAACAGTGCTATATCTAAAGTAGTTGATTGGTTTGCTGTTAATAACCTACTCCTTAATGAGAAAAAAACAAATTGTGTGAAATTTACATTACACAATGTTAGAGAGACGGTTACAAACATTGTAGTTAGAAACTAAAAATGGAATCTTGTGGATACAGTTGTATTTCTCGGTATAACGTTAGATGCCAAATTGCAATGGGGTGGGGTCCCCATATAAGGAAGTTATCAAAACGGCTCAGCTCTGCAGTGTACGCGATTAAAAAATTGAGGAAACTTTCAGACGTCGGAACCGCTTGATTGGTTTACTTCAGCTACTTTCACAGTCTAATGACATACGGCATTTTGCTTTGGGGTAATGCCGCCGATATCAATAGGATCTTTGTCCTGCAGAAACGTGCAGTTAGGGCAATTTACAATCTGGGCCAAAGTATCTTTGAGACATAAGTTTAAGGAAATTAACATTTTTACACTAGCCTCACAGTACATTTATGAAAATGTAATTTATGTTAAAAGGAATAGTAATTTTTTTATGAAAAATAGTGACAGACATAACATTAATACGAGGAATAAAAATAAACTAGCTTTTCTTGATAGTCGTCTTCACAAAGTCAAAAAATCATTTAAGGGGCAATGTATACGCTTCTATAACAAAATTCCGGTTGATATACAAAATTTGCCTTTCACGAGGTGTAGTGAAACAAAACTTTATATTAAAGGTTATTATACAACTTCTGCGTACTTGGATGACAAAAATCCGTGGTAGTAACCCGTTTAGCTCATGGAGGGAGCCTCGATCTCTGATGTTTCAAATAAAAAAAATGTATATATTGTAAATGTTGAGTGTGTACAAACGTTATTTACAAAGAGCAACCCCTAGAGTTACTTGCTCATTCTTCTCAGGTGAATCTGCCTTACGAATGAGCGGTAGAGTTTAACCATTGTGACGATTTCAAGTGTAATAATGCTTACCTATGAAATAAAGATTATTTTGAATTTGAATTTGAATTAATACTTCAAATGGTACGTACCCAGGTATCGGGATTATTTAGAGAATAGGTCTAATCGTCTTTTGCAGGTCTATATAAAAAATATTCACTAATTTTTTTATTACTTATTCACAACAGTGCAATATTATGCTAAAATATCTAATAAGGTCGGCTAAAACACTATGTCCCAAGCTGTTAAACCCTATTTAAATATCACTTCATGTCGCAGTAAACACGTCAACGTCATGGTTTTTTTTTGCAATCAGTTTTGTTTGATTCACGTTTCGAGAGTATAATTGGTTTGTGTTTGATATATTCATAACTGATTTTCGCTATTATTTACGGACATTCTTTGGATTATTAGCTACTCTGATAGCAGTCAAATCACGACATGCCACTAGATCAGCTGACTTTGGTCGTTGCTCCAGCAACCTCGAACACACGCCGCAATATATATATTCTTTATTGTACAAAGAAAAGAAACATGAAACACACGTTATAATGGACACATACAAAGGTGATGATATAATTATTTTTCTACACGTAACTGTTAAAGAAATTAATCTAGAACGATGAGTTAAGGTTCTCCTATTGTAGATTCACAGCGTATAATGGTTTAGCTAAAACAATTTTTCATTCCTTGCCTGTAAGACATTACTACAGTTATACCATACAGTTTACGACACTAAATTTGAATGAACCTACAGGTTCCTAGAAATAAGGCGGCTCACGCATGGGCACTTAGAACAGCTGACCGGTGGGTGGAGCAACAACTTTTAGCGGCTAGTGCAGCGCGGGTCAGGGCCGCAGCGGCGTTGCTGCTTGTCGCGTTGGTGCCGTCGCAGCACTTCCGCGCGGGCTATGCAAGGGCGCGCCCGCAACCAGCGCCGCACCATTTGGCTAAACTACCCGATACTGCGCATCATACGTTACACCAAGTAAGCATTGCTTCGTCTCGAATACAACACATCACGGCAAAATCAAATTCCTGATAAAATGCCCGTTTGAATACTTCTTGGTATTATAAAAATGAATTGGTATTATAGAAATCATTATAATGAAACCTACCTACTACGGTAATTTTTTCCTTAATAAAATTTTGCCTCGAATCAATTGCTTTTCAAAGGGCAGAGTTACATACAACTTTAAGTATAACTAAGTATTTTCTTCTTCACAGGTGTACACAATGTTGTTGGGCAAACTAAAAGCAGCACGGAAGTACACCGACATTGCAGTACATGGTACCATGAAGTTGACGGCGTACTTTGGTGTTATGTCATACTGTGTTGTAAGCAGGGTGGAAAAACTTATGGTGAGTTTGGTATACGTCTATTATTGTGCTTTGTCCCTTACTAGGGAAA